AAGTCCTCTGGGCGAGTCCAGCGACATCATTTGATTAATTTAAAAAACAAAATACATAAATAATTAACATTCACTATTTCACGGTATTTTTAGATGTCTTTTACTCATTACAGTGCACAGCGAACCTAACAGTTATACAGGGTTTGGAAAATGTGTAGCACTGATGCTACTAATTTATTCTTTTGAAATATTCAACAAACAAACTGCTCAAGGTCCTAAAAATAAATATGAAGTCAGAACTATCAAATCATTTACCACTTGTTACTAAATTACACTTTCTTCGGGCAATTCCACTCCTCATAGGTAATCCTGAACAAGACTAGGCTTCTTATAGTGATGGGCTGCTTGCTAATGACAAGTGATGAATTGAATGATAATCTGGGCTTCGTATTTATTTTTAGTTGGCAAAATAATGTATAGAAAAAATACTTTAAACTTAAATAGCTATCATAGCTATCTTATGTAACTAATACTACTTAACTGCATATTTCATTTGAGCTTTTTTAATAACTTTTGTCATCAACAACATATATATATATCTTCAGTTATGTATATTACAAATACATTCTGATATTTTTTTTCAATTACTTTTACTCAAAAAAAAACAAGCCTGCAAAAAAAAAGTTTTTGATATCCCATTTTTGTAAAATGAGATAGCATACAAAGTTAATATATCATTTATCTTTCAAACTATTTGTGTCTTAACTCACCTTTTTGGGGCACAATTAGCCAGGTATAAAGATACCCTGCAGCAACACTGTAATATAACACAGACGCTTTTTGCCGGTTCACGGTGTCCAAAATCTGTTCCACAGAGACAGGAGTAAGTGTTGGCATGTTACTACCTCCACTGGTCTGTCTCTCCATAAGAAGGTCAACAAATGCCCTGGTGCGTCCTCTTTCTGCCACTACTAGTGCCTCTTGTCGACGTCCAAGGCTAACAAGAACCCTCTGAAAAAGAGGAACAATGTAAAATACCATTCCTTTATATTCAAAACAAAACTTAAACTATTTTTTATGTTATACCAATTAGTAAAGCATAAAATTGTAGCTAATAATCCATATTAAAAAAGTATACAAGTTTAAGTCTTTAATTTTATAAGGCAATATAAAAAAAACCCTGAATTTCCCCTAGTGTGACATTTCTTCTCTAGGCATCCCCTCTTCTCTAATTTATTCACCACTCCTACAATAAGTACAAAACTTAACATAAATTATACATTATAATGTTGTCATCGCTCCAACAAAACAAGATTTTTATAACCTTCAATCTTGTTTGGTTATTGAGCCATTAAATAAAAAATTAGACCCTTTTGCCACACCCATCTGCCATATCCTCTCTTTCAGGATTTGTTAATAGTTCTCTGTTACATTTAATACTATATTACTTATAACCATTAGAAAGTCAAAGATTTCATCTATCAAATGACATAGTATATTACATTAATTTCTGTACATAGAATTGTCAATTCTTCTTTTGGTACAAGCTTTGCTCCCAATAGAAACATACTGACTAGCTTGGATGAATTTGTAATGGCTTTTGTAGCATAGTTAGAAAGCCAGAAAAATTGTAGTAGTTACGATACATAATCTGCTTTTTACTTGTTATTATTCTATGTTCTTTGCTGCATTATTTAATTAAATAAAGATTATTTAATGCAATACTACCATTAGTATACAAAAAATAGGGTTAAGTGTCGTCGACAGTAAAAAAAAATAAAAATAAAATAAAATAAAGAGAAGGCTTAAGTTTGTACTTTATTTCTTATTATAAAAGTAACTAAATTGTAAATACAGGAAGCTCTTTAGGTTAGTTAAGGTTAAATAATGTAAATTAAATAATGATAATAAATTTTCACCAGGCATGCACACGAGGAACTCCGAGTACTTTGTTGTTAATGTAATTCGATAGCATAATGTGAGCCACACATTCTCCAAGTGATTTACAACTTATAATGGTGCGAACAGTAGTTAGACAGGATTCAAAGGGCAATAAAACATAAGTATGAATAGGTATATACCGTTACGTATTTGAAGCTATTTTGGATAAACAAATATAGTTTTGTATTACGATTTGAAATCATTCTAGAAAAAAAAAGAGAGTAATTTAGATTTATTTAGATTTTTTTTTTTTGTT